GGAGGATGGAGGGATGGAGGAGGAGGCTGCAGGAGGAGGAGGCCGGAGGGCTGGAGGCCGCTGTCCCCGCAGTGGGACCTGGTGTGCGGCCGGCGGCAGCTGCGCCAGTTGGCCCAGTCCATCTACATGGCCGGGGTGCTGGCGGGYGCCCTCGTGCTGGGCGGCCTCTCCGACAGGTACGGGCGGAGGCCGCGGCCTCCGGGGGGTCCCAGGGCCTCCTGCAGCTCCCACCACCTCCCAGTGGCCTTTAACAACCTCCCAGTGGCCTCCTGTGGTTCCCAGTGGCCTCCAGTGACCTCCCAGTGGCCTCCCATGGCTCCCTATGGCCTCCAATGACCTCCCAGTGGCCTCCCATGGTCCGCAGTGGCCTCCAGTGACATCCCMGTGGCCTCCCATGGCTCCCTATGGCCTCCTGCCACCTCCCAGTGGCCTCCCGTGGTTCCCAGTGGCCTCCAATGACCTCCCAGTGGCTTCCCATGGTCCACAGTGGCCCCCAATGACCTCCCAGTGGCCTCTCATGGTCTGCAGTGGCCTCCAGTGACATCCCAGTGGCCTCCCATGGCTCCCAATGGCTTCCTGCAGTTCCCAGTGGCCTCCAGTGACCTCCTATGGTTCCTAGTGGCCTCCCACCGCCTCCCACCACCTCCCGGTGGCCTCCAATGASTTTCCAATGGCCTCCCGTGGTCCCCAGTGGCCTCCAGTGAGGTGCCGGTGGCCTCCCGCGGTCCCCGTTGCAGGTTCGGGCGCAAGGCCCTGCTCCTGTGGTCCTACCTGCAGCTGGGGGTGACGGGCACCTGCGCGGCCTTCGCGCCCAGCTACGCGGCCTACTGCGCCCTGCGCTTCGCCAGCGGCATGGCGCTCTCGGGCTTCGGCCTCAGCGTCGCCTGCCTCGGTGAGGCCACTGCGGCGGGGACCTCCGGGGACCTGGGCTGGGCGGGTGGGGGAAGCTCCATGGGCGTGCGGTGGGTGGGAGAACCTCCCTGGACCTGGTGGGAATGTGGCCTTGGGGTGGGAGAACCTCCATGGAGGTGGGANGGACAGTGCTAAGGCCATGGATGGGGACAGACCCATGGTCACCTATGAGGACATCCCAATGGCCAGGGATGGGGACAAACCTATGGTCACCTATGGGGACATCTCAATGGTCATGGATGAGGGGAACCTCATGGTCACCTATGGGGACATCCCATGGATGAGGGGAAGCTCATGGTCACCTATGGGGACATCTCAATGGCCATGGATGGGGAGAACCTCATGGTCACCTCTGGGGACATCCCAATGGCCATGGATGAGGAGAACCTCATGATCACCTATGGGGACCTCCCACGGATGGGGAGAACCTCACGGTCACGGTGGTGGCCGCCCGCAGTGGTCGAGTGGATCCCCACGGCCTACCGGGCCGTCACGGTGGCCACCACGGGCTTCGCCTACACGCTGGGCCAGATCCTGCTGGCGGGCGTGGCCTACGCGCTGCCCCACTGGCGCCACCTCCAGCTCGCCGTCTCCGCACCCTTCTTCTTCTTCCTGCTCTACTCCTGGTAGGGCCGGCGCCTCCCCGGCGCCTCCCCGGCGCCTCCTCGGCTCCTCGGTGGTTCCTTGGGGGTTCCTCCCAGTTCCTCCTTGGTTCCTCCCTGGTTCCTCCCTGGTTCCTTGGGGGTTCCTTGGTGCTTCCAGTTCCTTGGTGGTTCCTCCCAGTTCCTTGGTGGTTCCTCCCAGTTCCTCCCCAGTTCCTCCCCAGATCCTCCCCGTTTCCTCCCTGGTTCCTCCCCGGTTCCTCCCCAGTTCCTTGGGGGTTCCTTGGTGGTTCTTCCCCAATTCCTCCCTGATTCCTCCCTGGTTCCTCCCTGGTTCCTCTCCGGTTCCTCCCCAGTTCCTCGGTGGTTCCTCCCCGGTTCCTTGGTGGTTCATCTCCGTTTCCTCCCCGTTTCCTCCCCATTTCCTCCCCAGTTCCTCCCTGGTTCCTCTCCGGTTCCTCCCCAGTTCCTC